ATATTAGGTATGTTTTAGCTTCACAGCCTACCTGCTTTAATCAGTCAAGTTTTAATGTAATATATTAGGTATGTTTTAGCTTCACAGCCTACCTGATTTAATCAGTCAAGTTTTAATGTAATATATTAGGTATGTTTTAGCTTCACAGCTTACCTGCTTTAATCAGTCAAGTTTTAATGTAATATATTAGGTATGTTTTAGCTTTACAGCTTACCTGCTTTAATCAGTCAAGTTTTAATGTAATATATTAGGTATGTTTTAGCTTTACAGCCTAAATGCATCATAACCTTTGAACCATATCTAAACCACAGACACTTCATACATAAAGTATGATAACCTTGAATGTTTCCAAATGATATATTTGTTTTTGTATACTTATGTTTTATTATGAAACAAAAACCACCAAGTGACGTGGCTGTGTATTATTCCTTTATACAGTAAATCACTGACCAACATTTGTTCTACAGTCAATATAGATTCTGTGACTCAACATACATTGTTATGTTTCTGTTGTTCGTATGTTATCTCAGTTGATTTGCTGTGTATTATTCCTTTATACAGTAAATCACTGACCAACATTTGTTCTACAGTCAATATAGATTCTGTGACTCAACATGCGTTGTTATGTTTCTGTTGTTCGTATGTTATTTCAGTTGATTTGCAAAATGATTAATCTTCCATAGAGAAAAAATTGTATTTAAAGTTTAATATGACTTATGCATCTTTACAGGTCTGTGTTGTTTATTTCATTTCAACAAACACGTTTCTGAACAACAATAATGCAGTCACAATCCTAAAGACATAATCCGCTGGACCACTTTTTTGGTGGTTGTTTTATATGAAGTATCTTTTATGTAATTAAAAATAATATAAAGAGACAATATTTATCTTATCTACAAACATTATTTTTATATTCCCTCTTCAAATCACATACAGGTAGTTAGTTGAAGAAGATTCACACTGATTTCGGAGATCATGCTGAGATGAAATCAACCTTAAGACTTAATTAGCTTCAAATTACCAGTGGGATGTTATATAAAATAGGAAGATACTCCTAAAGTAATTATTTGAACAAAATAAACAAACACTGCAAGTAACAAAACCAAAACCACTAAATGAAAACTTTACAATTTATTTAAATAAGAAATTGAGGTTTGTAACAAGTAGATTAGGAGGAAGAAAACAGTTCCATTTTTTTATTTCTCCTGATAATATATTTATGATTTTGTGTAGCTTTAAAATTTTGAGAGCAGTAAAACAAAAAAGTACAGTGAGTTTAATTCTACAGTTTTAAAAAGTATTTAATTTCAAACAAACAACAAACATCCACAAAGATCACAGATTTGCAGCTATTTTTTTGTACAGCAAAAATTTTTATCTTTCGAAATGGGAAGTTTAAATATTTCTAAATAAGGTTGCAACTGTGGGGGTGGTAAAAAAATCTAACTTATAGTTAGCAGTTTATTTTACTTTTATGCCCAACAAATGATAATAAAAGTTGTATTGAAACAGAATGTATTATAGTTTTATTTTGTAGATGACTCGAGGATGGGAGATCAAAACATTATCTACAGACCTATTAAAAGAATAGAGCGTAGAAAGTGAAATTAGTTTTCTGTTTGGAATAAAACCGTTTTTAATTTGTCTCCTATCAGGGATTGCTTGGCGAGGCCAGGGATCTGGAGAAACAACTTGATCAGGTGAAGGATTCTGCAGATCTACTTATCACTAATGCTTCTCCAAGCTCTGATACTTCCCACATTACTCAAGAGGTGGACAATCTCGATAAACGTCATCATCAACTCACACAGAAACTCCGGGAGCAGTGTGCCGATCTGGAGCTGGCTTCATCTGTGACCTCTGATTTTAACGTATGTCACTATTATTGCAGAAGGAATTCTGAGATCATTTTAGTTCCAGTTCTGAATCATAATCCTTATTTAATAAACTATTCTGAGCTTTCTGATAAGTGTTTGATACCTTAATTCATTTTTTTCATTACTATCTGTGAGATAGAGAATTCTTATTACACATAAAATTGATTAAGATAAAAAGGCTGTAACATATACTTTGTTTCTGAACCGCTACCTTTTCACTTTCTACTCATGCTATAATATCTTGAGCTACAAGATAACTTTTGTACCGTTTTTAGGCAAAGTTGAATGGAGTTCATTACGACCTGAACGCTCTGGAGGAAGAACTTGATAACATGGCTCCCATAGCAAGAGACATAGAAACAGTGCAAACTCAACTGGATGACATAAAGGTTAATAACTTCACATGTAAAAAATTGTAAAACCAACAATATAGTCAGATATAAAAATAATGTAAAAACAGATTAAACAAAACAGTAGATACTAATATATTATATGTATACAAAAGTGTAGAACCAACAGAATTAGTCTGTAGATAGTCAGATATAAAAATAACTTAAAAACAGATTAAACAAGATAATAGATACTAACATATTATATGTATACAAAAGTGTAGAACCAACAGAATTAGTCTGTAGATAGTCAGATATAAAAATAACTTAAAAACAGATTAAACAAGATAATAGATACTAATATATTATATGTATACAAAAGTGTAGAACCAACAGAATTAGTCTGTAGATAGTCAGATATAAAAATAACTTAAAAACAGATTAAACAAGATAATAGATACTAATATATTATATGTAT